ACTTCTCCGCCATGACTCGATTGGACCACAACCGCGCCACTGCTCAGGTTGGTGGCCATGGAAAACGTGAAAAATAAGCTGGAGAAGGGACTTAGCGTTTGACCCATTAGCACAAATGTGTCGGTATGTAAGGAACAGTAACCAGTAAGAACTCAACTTGTCAAATTTAGGCAGCGTTCAGAGTTCGCGATGACGCGCGTTGACGACGCGAACGCAGCCGCAGACGGCCGGCGACGATCGATTCGCGTCTGCGCCTGCATTCGCGTCTACAGTGTTGGAGCGCTGTTGCAATTGTAGCGCGCCGACGCGTTACAGTGGGTTACAGCGCGTCGACTCGCGTCATCGCGAACTCTGAACGCTGCCTAAATTTGACAAGTTGAGTTCTTACTGGTTACTGCTTCCTTAGATACCAACACATTTGTGCTAATGGGTCAGTCGCTAAGTCCCTTCTCCAGCTTATTTTCCACGTTTTCCATGGTCACCAACCTGAGCAGTGGCGCGGTTGTGGTCCAATCGAGTCATGGCGGAGAAGTTGCGAGCCGGAATCTTTGGAGCCGCATACTTAGCACAGATGAAGGCATTCGTGTTGGCTGGGTTTCCGACGACGAGCACCTGGAAAACGCCTTATATCAGCCTGATCAGGAGGAGCACTGAAGGAGAAATAGCTAGATTCTGCTGAATAAGAAATCGTAATGGATCACCTTCGTGGTGGCTTTAGCGTAGTTAGCCAACGCCTGACCTTGCGACTTGAAAATCTTTACGTTGGCTGCCAGGAGGTCCTTGCGCTCCATACCCTCTTTTCGTGGCATAGCTGAAAAATCTTTTGTGAATTCCTGTACTCAGTCACTATTGAATTCACCTCAATTTGAAGCCCTTTTTGAAAAGACCTTGGCAGGCAGTCTACTCCTGACCGTTTACAAAAGCTGCCCGCAAGACCGCGGAGCATGAGCTTATTAACTGAGATGTACTTAAGGTTACCTCCAACAAGGAAGGCGTAGTCGATATCGGTGAAGGCTTCCTTCTCTGTCGTTACACATTCCACACCTGAAAATACAGTAATGAAGTGGTGTCACGCGCACGATACTCGCACCAGGACCAAATTTATTTGACATAGAGGCCCTGCGAAGCTTTGGAGTCAACCTGCTAGTTGCTGCGCCTCGCCGCAATGTAGATCTCATGGCCCATATGAC